TGGGTATCTAAGCAGGTGACTGACCACACTCACTATACGCTGAGCTCTGCGGGACCACCTTGCTTCTTCAGAACTACAGCCTCAACACTAATGCCATTTAATTTCCACCTGTACAGTTTTCAAGGCTCAATGTCCCTAAATATCACACAAATCTCTCTAATGAGCATTAATTTCTCCAACCCCTACATTTCAGAATGAGCCATTTATATCAGCTATTTTCATCCTTCTGACTCCTACTACAATTCTCTTTCTGTCTCCCCACTTGCTAGGAACTCTGTGAGGCTCTTTGCTCTAAACATTTTTTCTTCCTTTATATTAGTTTGCTTATTTTCAACACCTTCCAGACAAAGAATGGTAAGGAGGCAGCATCATCCCCATTGGCCAGAGCGGCCTGTGGGCCTTCATCTCCCCCACCGTGAGATGGCTCAGTGGTCTCTTTTCCTTCAGAGATACCTGCACCCCCCACCCCCAAGCCATTTTCTTAAGACCTCTTTAAAGCTCAAGTCTTATTATTTATGGAAGCAAATCCTAACCAACCGGGCAAAAAAGACCTTGTTAGTGACTCAGAACTTATATAAACACTCAGCATCTGTTAACTGAACTAAATACTCCTTTGTTCTCATATAAGAATTCTACCTAGGTGGTATTATTAATTTTTATACAGAATTTCTAAACCATAAACTACTTAATGGTATGATCCTTCTTATATCTCCTAAAGCTCCTAGCTCAGTAACTTTGCAAATAACTATCCTAGAAAGCAAACTACTACATGATTGGTAAATGAAATTACAACAAAAATTATATTTTCGCTATTTATCAAGAAGATATCACAGTCAACCTCACCATTATTTTGAAAATTTGCAAGTTAAACTAATGAAACACCTTTTTAAAGTAACATATTAACAATTTAAGATTTCTTTAATGAATTCTATACTAGATTCATGGAGAACTTCATTCTGCAGGTAGCAGTTTAATAATAAGGATCCGGATTTGTCAAAAGGAAACTCTCTAGTTTATGAAGTAATCCAAAAGAAGTGGAAAAACTATATATACAAAGATGGCTCCTGCAGAAATATACAGGATGGGGCAAAAGTAGGTTTACAGTTGTTCGTATAGGAAATACAATAATTAATAAATAATACGAGAAAAACTAGTTCACGCTCTCACAGCTATAAACCTACTTTTTTATTCCACCCTGTATACCAGTGAAACTACAAAATTTAACACATTTGCAATGTTAGGTAGACTATTAAATGAATGTGACTATGGACCTATACACGAATTAAAAAGTCATGGAGACAGGAGCAACATTAAAATACAGTATCAAGCCCTGATTGATGTGGCTCAGTGGGTTGGGCGTTGTCACATAAATTGAAAAGGTCACCAGTTTGAAAAGTCGCCAGATGGATGCCCAGTCAGGGCACATGCCTGGGCTGTCGGCCAGCTCCCCAGTTCGGGGCGTGCGAGAGACAACCAACCAATCAATGTTTCTCTCCAACACTGATGTTTCCCTCTCACACCAATGTTTCCCTTTCTTTTTCTCTCCCTTCCCCTCTCTCTAGAAATAAATAAAATCTTTTTTAAGAAAGATACAGTATCAGGATATAACCAAGATTCAAAATTGACTATTAGGATTATGACTACATAAAAATATGAACGGACACAGAAAAGCACTGGAATTGAACACAATGGAAATAATCAGTCTGCTGAGATGGGTTAGCATGGGTCACCTTTTGCTCACTTGCCAAATTCCTTGTAAGTCTACTGCTTCTGCAGTTTAAAAAAAGGATAGGACAGGGATCTCATACACCCCTAGTCGAAGTATAAACTATACAATTACTTTGCAATCTGTTTAGCAATATCTTCTAAACTGAACACTAGTTTAGAACTCAGCAATTCCACTGCCGAGTACATACCCAATACAAACATGTACATGTCTACATGTGTATCAAGACATGTACTGGAATGTTCACAGTCACACAATTCAACATTGACAAAATTTAGTAATGACTCAAATTCCCATCAACCGTAGAATGGATAAATAAATCAGGGTATAATTACACAATGGAATATTGACCAGCAATGATAATGATTAAACTATAGCCACATACAACAACATGGCTAAATCTAACAGGCAATGTTGAGGAAAAAAACAAGATACGCACATACGCACTCACTCCACGATCCCACTGATCCCATGTAGACTGAGCACGAAAACAGGCAAAACTAATCTACAGTCAGATTAGCCCTTCGGTCAGATTAGCCCTTCGGGAGAGATGATGATGGGAAAAGAGCCTGAGGGGCCTTCTGCAATAAGGCAATGTTCTGTTTCTTGATCTTTGTGCTAGTTATAAGCTTACCCTCATTTTGTAAAAATTTGTCAGTGTATATTTCAATGTTTTTAATTACTTCAAATAAAAAAAAGATGGCATATGCCAAGCCACCCACACTAGAGGCATAAAATTTCCTGTAACATTTGAAACCAAGTTGGCTTCTTTATTTGATTGGAGAGCAGAAGACAAGTGTGGTGGTTGTTGCGTAATTTACCTAGCTTCAACTCTGCTCACTAAAATGTGATTTTAAAAACACGCACAAATAATCCAACAAATGCCTGTGTAAATTTATCTGTTAATTTTTCACTGAGACCCCTTTTGCTGCTTCTGAATCTGCTCATCCTACAGCTACTCCATTTTAACAGACCTCAGCTCCCACAAACACTCCCCTTTCAGCCCTCCTCCTACCCCTTCCCTAATTCCTTTAACTTCCTTCAGCTAGACCCGTTCCCATCCTCCTCCCCCTGGACTAGGGATTAATACGTGAGCAGCTGAGTTCATGTGACTAAATGTGAGCAGATGTTGATACTCACGAAATGAACCTAAGGCCTGAATGCCATTGATTTTAGTGGCCATTTGTTTGTAATTTCTTTATTTGGGGCCATTTTCGATGATTTAAAACAAAACTATTTTTAAATCTACAGTCTTTTTTTCCCCTCTAACATCTTCCTCCTCCACAATGCAAATGCAAACATACCCTCCCTCCCCCGCGAAGAACTCACTCTTGCTGAGGCAGAACTTCAACTAGAATAATTTGCAGACTCGGCAAATCTAGAGTGCAGAAAGAGTGTCCCAAAGCACCCCCGTACCCTATGAAGATAAATCACATTCCTAATTTGTGTATCAAGATTAAAATGTCTTAGGAAATGGCTTCTCTTACATCCTTAGACATTTTAATCTTAACATAGGTCTGCCCATACTTAATTTTTCTTCCAGTGCCTCAGCAGCAGCACCTTCTCCCAAATTTATTAAATGGAAAAGGATTGAAGTTAATAATTTCTGAGTTTTTAAATCCCTATCTTGGGAAAATTTCACCTTAAAATGAAGGCGTACTAGGCTGGGGGAGGGGGAAATGGCGAGTGACTACTAATGGGTAACTGGTAATGGGTATGGGGTATCTTCTTGGAAATGTCTGGAATTAGGTAGTAATGATGACTGAGTAACTTTGTGAATATGATTTTAAAAAACCACTGAATTGCACATTTTAAAAGGGTAAATGTATGGCATGTTTATTATATCTCTTTTTAAAATAAATTAAAGGTGGAAGAGTGCCCAACGCCCAACTTTTTTAGAAAAAGTTAGATGAAAGGAACAACTACCAGGTAAAATGCTAAATACCACCTAAAACTCAAGTGGAGCCCTGGCCGCGTAGCTCCGATGATTGGAACGACCTGATGCCAAGGCTGGGGGTTCGTTCCCGTCAGGGATCATACACGGGTCAACCCGTGAGTGCGTGCATAGATGGAACAGATCGATCAATCTCTCTCTCTCTCTCTCTCTCAAATTAATAAAACTAAAAAAAATTAAAAATTAAAATCAAATTGAATAAACTCATGAGTGAAAAATGAGAACACCGGCCCTGATTTCAATCCAGCTCAGAGGTGGGGCGGGGGGGGGGGGGGCGCGGGGGGATGAAGGTGAGGCAAGAAACTGCATAATTATAGATCTGGATCATTAACCTTCCTGTTAGTTTGGCATCCTGTTTCTGATACACTATTTCATTAATATTGAATACAAGATGAACCTCCGTGGAAACAATGTGCAGAGAGCGAGCGCTGGGGGACGCCATAGATTGTTTTTCATGCTCACTCGGCCAAAGCACCTACCAAGTCCCCCCGGAGCAGCACAGCTCTGGCTGACCGGCAGGACTCACCGTGAGGCGTTGCCTCCGAAAGTGCCACGGAGATCCAGGTGCAGGGGATGAACGGTCAAGAGGAGGCGGCAGCTGCCCTGAGCGCAGCATTCCCTGCGTGTTTGCCTGAGTGGCATGTTGGGCAGGGGGGGTGTTCAGGGACCAAGTCCGCTTAAGGGCACTCGCCCCTTCCCTCGTCTTGCTGCGGATCCTCCAAAAGCCCACGCTGTCCCTACCGGGTTCCGCGAGCCCCGGAGGCCCAAAGTTCCCACACCCCTCCCCCACCTCCCGGCCCCTCCAACCCTGGCCCGAGTAATCTCCGAGTTGGCTGAGAGCGATTCGAGGCCACCTGCTGCTCTGGGACAGAGGGATAAAGGGGCCGACCGCCAGTCCCTCCTGTGGCCGAGAACTCAAGGGGAGACGTCTCCGAGAGAATCAGTCGCACCGTCCCGAGCCAATTAAAGGGCTTGGGGGCACCAAAGGGAGTGCGCCCCGGCCAGGGGCCGGACTTTCCCGCTGCCTCGAGACCGGTGCGCCGCGCTCCCCTTCCACACAGGCCGAGTCCCGCGGCCGCAGCGCGCGCCAGACACAGATGACCCAGTCCCTAGTCCCGCTCCGAAGCCGCCGAGGGAAAGGAGTGCGAGGGAGTCCGCGGGGCTGCTCTCCGCCCCCGCCACGGCCGCCGTGCGCCCCCGGCGCGCGCCAAGTTTGCCTGGCGGGGCTGAGGCCGACCCAGGGCAGAGATGGGGGCCTGGGCGCTCCCGCGCCCACCGCGCCGGTGAAAAGAGCGCAGCGTAGACCCCCTACCCACTTACCTCCAAGCGCTCCTCCCAACCTGCCGCGCCGGGCCGGCGGCTCGCAGGCTCAGCCAGGCTCCCGGAGCTCGGAGGAGGGGCGGGGCGGAGGAGCGGAGGGGGCGGAGCCGGCCCCGTCTGGCCAGCGCCAGAATTAAACTCCGAAACACAGGGTATCTACCCGGGCCCTGCAACCACGGCAAAGCGAAGTCGGGGGAGATTAGTAAGCCTCAAACGCCGGGTGGGAAATGACTGTAGCAGCCTCCCGGAGCGAGGCGGGAGGGAACCCCAGGCGGCCCCCGAAACCTCCAGGATACCCGCTACTCCCCGACGCTTCTTTGTACCCCGGGACCGGCCGGCGGGCGGGCCCCAGTGCGCCTGCGCGCGGCCGCAGCCCCACAGTGCCCACGAGTCACCTTCGCGCACCTTCGCAGATCCCAGCCTGCAGAACACTGCACCGTCAAAACCCGGCCGAAGAGCCCCTCCGCCCCGGCACGTACCTTCTGTCCACGTGTGTTTAGTTTTTCCCCCCGAGGGAGGGAAATAGCCCATCCCCCTTGTCCCTCCTCTCATCCACCCTCCCCGCAGTGAAATTTGCCACAATTCAGATTATCTCTGACCCGGAGGCGTCCCTGGGCGCCGCAGGGGTGGCATGTTAACACTCCTGTCTGGTGCCTTTTTACTGCCGCCTCCTTCCACTCCGCTAAGAATTTACACTGTGCCGTGGGGTTGTTTCTGGTCCAGGGTGAGAGAGGGACTCTGGAGCAGGCAGGAGTCGTTTCCTGCAGGTGCCTGAGCAAGACAGTCTCTGAGAGGCGGCTCGAAATCTCCTGCTGTTCCCTGGACTGGCCTTGTGTCTTCAGTGCGTTCGCTCGTGCTCGGCCTCAGGACAGAATCCTCTGTGGAAAGGAAAAAGTGCGTGTCCAGAAGGACGCAGATGTTCGGGGAACTCCAAAGGAAACGCAGTGCCTGCCTCGGGAACTAAGGACTGAACAAGGACGTCAGACACTGGATTCAGAGCAAGCTGAGTGCAAGAGAGATGAGTAGGGTTAAGAGCCTGTGACTTGAGTCTTCTTTCAGGTTGAAGATGGTTTGAATAAACAGGACAGGAGTACCGACAAACACCAAGTATTACTAAGACAAAAAAACATTAATGCCAACTCTAATTACTGATTTTCTTAAGACCTCTCCTTCACAGCACACACCCAGCAGGGCCTTACACACGTCACAATATTTTGGCCAACAGGTTAAAGTGAAGAGCCATCAAACCTCACAAGTTGAAATGCCGGCCTCCGGGGGAGAAGCTGGCAAAATCAATGCTTCTCTACGTGCTGATGGCGAAACACATGCAAATTCCTGCAAGTGATGGCCCCTGCCTGTGAAGACAACAGGCACAGGGCAGCTCAAAGAAACTGGGAGGCAGGAAATCTTTTTAGCAACAGCCCCTTTGCCAGCTCAGTGGGTAGCAGTAAATAAACCCCTCCTTCAGGGCCTCAGTTTATTCATCTGTAGAATAGGGTATACGGATTCCGCATGATCTCTAAAATAACCACTGCCCCCCAAATATCTATGATTCTATGGGGGGGGGAGCTTCTTCCCAAGGTGATGAGTGGGGACAGGAAAATGGAGAGGAAAATGGAGGAGTGGCCTACCTACACAAAATGCCCTACACGCTGGATCTCTTGTTCCTTACAGTTAATAAGCATTTATTTCGTAGGCCCTCAAAAGTTGGCAAATCTAATCAATCAAAAGTAGGGCAGATCCTGAATTTTTGGTGGATTTATATTTAACAATCTTCATTTTTCTATTGATATACAGTTCTTATGCCATAAATTTATTCTTACAGGGTATAATTCGATGACTTTGAATTATTCACAAAATTTTGTAACCGTCATCAGTAATTCTAGACTTTCTTCATTCCATTAAAAAACCCATTACAGCCATTCCCCCAGTGCCCCAACCCCACCCTTAGCCACAGACGCCCACTCATCTACTTTCTTTCTTTATGGATTTGCCTGTTCTGGATATTTCATACAACAGGTAGCCTTTGGGTCTGACTTCTTAACTTCACCATAATATTTGCACAGTTCATCCATGTTGTAGCATGCATGTATCAGTACTTTATTCCTTTTTATAGCTGAATAATATTCCATTGTACAGATAACACCATTATTTAACCATTCATACAATGATAGACATTTTAGACTGTTCCTACTTTTTGGCTCTTGTGAATAATGCTGTGATGAACATTCATGTACGAGTTTTTGTGTAAACATTTGTTTTCATTTCTCTTGAGTGTACATCTAGGAGCAGAATTTCTTGGCTAAATGGTAACTCTATAACTAGCTTTTTGAGGAACTAAAAAGTTTTTAAAGTGGCTACACTACTTTACCTTCTCATTATGAAGGTTCTAATTTATCCAAATCCTTGACAACAGTTGTTACTGTAATCTTTTTGATTATTTATATCCTAGAAGATATGAAGTGATATCTTCTGGTTTTAATTTTCATTTCCCTAGTGACTAATTATGTTGAGCATCTTTTCATACTTTTATGGGCCATCTGTGTATCTTCTTTGGAGAAATGTCTACTCAACCCTTTGCCCATTTTACAGTTTTTATTGTTGAGTTGTAAGAGGTCTTTACTTAAATCTAAGAAGATATTAGTCCTTTGTCTGATACGTGATTTGTAAGTTTTTATCCTATTCTGTGAATTGTCTGTTCACTTTCTTGATAGTGTCCTTTGTAACACATGTATTAGTTTGATAGTCAAATATATTTACAATATAACATAAGCTAACACTTACGTTATAAGCTAACACAATAGCTTTTCCAGACTATAAAATTAGTATAAAAAAAAACTTTGGAAAAATATTTAAAAGGATATATTAAAAAAACAATTACTTATGGCTCCATCACCTAGGTATAGCCACTGTTAAGATTATAGCAAATTTCCTCAGGCCCTTTTTTAGCACATTATTTATTTATTTGATATCAGCCCCAATGACATCATGTGGTCCTGCTCAACTTAGGAAATGAATGTCAAAGCTAGTTGCTGCCTGTGTCAGAAAACACGTAAGGTAATTATCTAAATCTAGAAAAAAATAAGAGGACTTAATTTATTTCAACCTATAACATGATAGCCGCACCCTTGTGGTTCCTGGAAATAACTATTTCAAAGGTAAAGGATTCGTTGATTCATTTGTTTTAGTTATTTTACAAGTGTTCAGTTTGCATTAAGCTGAAGCTCTGTTTGAATACATTTTATATGTTGCTGAAGGACATAACCCTAGTTCAGGAAATTTGAGCTAAGAGTAATCTTTATTCATAATTATGATCTTTATTATGTCATTGTTACTATTATAAAATATTTATAGAGGATTCAAAAGGTATAGGACATTCTTCTAGGATGCTAAGTGGATGGATTATGTGTACAAGCCTGTCCCTGCAGAACCACTATATTTAGAGCATTTACTTATTTAAAAAATACTTATTGAGTGCCTGCTGTGCCCAAAACACTGCGTTCAGCTTTATAAAGGACATAAGGAATCCCAAGAAACTATCTGTCTTTTAGGGGAGATGATACATGTACAAAATAATTATAATTACAATAAACTTCAGCTGGAGGAGAAATAAAATATTCTTATAGTTTAAACAATATAATTTTTATAATTGATAACACTTATTGAGAACTTACTTCTCCTCTAAGGTAGGCATGATTCTTATCCACAATTTGTAAAAATGAAGATGGAGTTTTAGGGAGGTTGAAATACCTGAAGGAAGCCACTGTGCAAAGTGGTGGAGGCAGGATTCAAACCCAGGTTGCCAGAGTGCAGAGCCAGAACTCAGCTCTAGTCACCTCCAGGTAGGATAGCATATGCATAACATTTAAAAAAAATTTTAGTGATAACTTTTCACTGAGTCATTGTCACTGAAGCTTTTTCTTCTTTATCAAGGAAACCTTTACCTGGTGACCTTTTGACTTTGACCTCATATCACCATTCTCCAACCCAGTAATTTTCATATAACTGAGCTGTGTTTTGAGCTTCTGAGTCTTTTAATCAAAGAAACTTTTAATGGAAGATAAAAATGAAGGTTCTGTGAGTGAAGCTAAAGGATAGGGGCGTCTTCCAGGGTGGTGGGGCCCTGAGGGAAGGAAACAGGCTGCCCCACATTCAGCTGACAATTAGATTATCACAGTTGAAACCTCGTTAAGGAACGTTAATGTCAATACCACCTCAGTCTTGTCACTAAAGAAGTGTTGACTTTTCTCCCCATTGGCAGGGCTTCACCTAGTTCAATAGATTGATGGGCATGAGCCTGATGAGGTTTTAGAATTAGTCATGTTTAATGTTCCTTGATACAGTGAAATGTAGCTGTCTTTAATCGTTAATTATGTTTTAAATGTTAAAGATGGCTTGCTTACCTAGCAGTCCTCAAAACTTGTCAGGAAGGTGAGAAAAGTCAAAGATTGAGCACCAGGACTGACCGAGGCGGAGAAACGATGGTTCCTGCTCTGGCTACGTCAGAGCCTTTTACTGAACGCTGTATTCAAAGGAGACCTGGTATGTATAACGTAGTGTTGAATTTCAACAAAGAAGGGCTTAGTCAACTTTTCTCTTCCAGGCACAATGGTACAGCCTGACAAAGCACAGCCAAAGGCGGGGAGGAGGGTGGTGAATGCAGAGGAGGCGGACACGAGGTCTGGGCCAGTGGCTCCAGGGGCGGTACCTGCTCTGAAATTCAGCTTTGAGACTTGGAGCCAAGGTAGTTACTTATAGAATTTTATTGTTTACTGTCATCCCTAGGAATGATAGGAAACACAGATTCTAGAAAGCTATTACAATTATTATCTTAACAAGTAAGTTGCCCAGCTCCTTTGCATTCACCATCTCAGGCTGGCTCAAGGGGCACTTTGCTTACCTAGCCAACATGTGTTCGCTATCTGCTCTAAGTCTGTACCTTAGGAGGACTCCCCACTCTGTGTTCTGTCTTTTGTTTATCTAACAGGATGTCATGTAAAGTTGCAGTCACAACGTCAATGAGGGATGCTATCATTGAAGCCTTGTCCAGGGCGCTGGGTCCAC